TGAAAAACAAGACCGCCTATATCTCTAAAGGAGAAACTACATGTCCAGGTGTAAATAAGCGGACACACATACATAGATAAATACATATAGATATATATGCTTACAGGTTAAAAGAATTAATGCGGATATATTTTTGCATGGCGTTGGAATTCCAACGACCAAGTGTTTGAATAAGGGATTCGGAATATCCCAATTGGGCAGCATACGTGGCTGCCCCAATCCGAAAGCTATGGCCTTTATAACGGCTGATATCCAATCCCGCAAAAGCAAGGGCTTTAGATAATTCTGAGGTAACATATGAATAAGTGACCGGCGCTCCATCAATAAACTGAAAGAAAGGACCAAAAGTATGCGTAAACATTTTTTGATAATGTATCAAGGCTTGAACCGGGCAAAGTACAGGGTGAGATGTACCTGTCAGAATGATAGTTAAGGGTTCATTTCCCCTCTGAGTTTTATGATGCCGGAAGGTTAAATGGGCTTTTGGGGGATCTGTGACTAAATGAAAGGATACGTCTTGAACTTGGAGCACCTGTGACGATTCATTGCGTGTTTTAACTGTGATTTCTCCCAAGCGAAGAAAGGCATGAAAACTGACTAAAAAAATAGCTTTCAATAGTATTCGATTGATGGCCGAAGGCACCGTTTTTTCCATAGAAAAGACGATTTTTAATAAAATATCTCTAGTAATGGGTAAGCGGGCGTCCTTGGAAGGGAGCACTTTGTGACACCCCTGTAACAATTTCCGCACTAGAAACAATTGAGTAGGGTCAAACACATTCATTAATTTGTGTAGGTAGCTAATAGCTGAAATGTGAGATACAATAGAGCTAGCACTATATTGTTGTTCGTAAAGAAACCCAATAAAATTACAAATGTCTTGTAGAGTCAATGGCAAAGTAGAGGAGGTAGGGTTATTGTAAAGGAAAAGCCTCCAGGAACGCTTGTAAGCTGTTCGTGTACCCTCTGACAATGAAGCTTGCAAAAGTAGTTGAGTGGTGGGAGTCAAAGCCGCAACAAGTGATGGGGAATGGGAGTCGGTTCTAGGTCCAAAAGTGGGAATGTGACCCTCGCCTCCTGAAATTGAGAGCGGGAAAGTTTGTCTGCAACAACGTTACATTTACCAGGAATGTGTTTGGCTTTAAAGAGAATATTATGCGTTAAACATACCAAAACTAAACGCCGAATCAAACACATAACTAACTTATCTTTACTAGACTGTTTGTTGATAATATGTACAACAGCCAGGTTGTCTGAAAGGAAAAGAATCTTCTTATTGATCAGCTGAGATTTCCAAATTTCCAAAGCAATAACAATAGGAAACAGTTCTTTGACTGTGATATGCCAAAGTGCAGCTACCTCATCCCATTCATTAAAGAACCAATGACAGCCAAAGACCGCCGCATAACCTATCGACCCCGAGGCATCTGTGAACAAGTGTAAGGTATCAGACGATTGCCAAGACGATGGTAGCAAGACTGATTTTCCATTAAAGTGACGTAAAAAATGAAGCCACATGCCTAGGTCCGCTCGTGCTTCACTATTGAGTCGAATATAATGACGCGGGCGCCTAACACCCAGAGTTAAATCAATTAAGCGGCGTAAGAAAGCTCTGCCCGGTACTACAACTGAGCAGGCAAAGTTTAAAAGACCGATAAGAGATTGTAATTCTTTCAATTGTACCTTTCTTCTGGAAGAAAGCTGGGAAACTAAAACACAACACTTGTTCAATTTGTCCTGTGGCAAACGACTTACCATTTGCAGTGAATCTATTTCGATGCCGTAAATAGTTAAACAAGTGGTTGGAGTAAATGTTTTCTTTGCATTAATGGGAACGTTAATCCGTTTGCATAAGGCAAGAAAATTTTGTAAATCAACCTGACACTTATTGGACATGGGTGGTCCAATGAAACAGAAATCATCCAGTATATGGGACATGGCCGAGGCATGAAATTTTTCCAACATAATCCATTGTAGAGCTGTACTCAGTGATTCAAATATTTGGCACGAACAGCTGGCACCCATGGGCAAACATTTCTCATAATAAAATAAACCATTCCAAGAGAAACCCAGCAAATGATAATCCAACGGGCTAATAGGTAAAATGCGGAAAGCATCTAGAATGTCAGACTTAGCTAAAAGAGCACCTTGGCCGAAATGTTGGACATGGGCGATGACAGTATCAATTGAGTCGTACTGAACTGCAGAAAATTCTCTGGGAATATTAGAATTAACCGAGTCCAGGTGGGGATAGGANTTCCAACATAATCCATTGTAGAGCTGTACTCAGTGATTCAAATATTTGGCACGAACAGCTGGCACCCATGGGCAAACATTTCTCATAATAAAATAAACCATTCCAAGAGAAACCCAGCAAATGATAATCCAACGGGCTAATAGGTAAAATGCGGAAAGCATCTAGAATGTCAGACTTAGCTAAAAGAGCACCTTGGCCGAAATGTTGGACATGGGCGATGACAGTATCAATTGAGTCGTACTGAACTGCAGAAAATTCTCTGGGAATATTAGAATTAACCGAGTCCAGGTGGGGATAGGAAAGGTCGTGAATAACACGGAATTTTTGAGGCTCAGATTTAGGAATAACGTGTAATGGTGAACATTTAAAATCTGTAAGAGGGGGAGTAAAAAATGGGCCAGCAATCCGCCCAGAAGATAAACCCGATTCAATGTAATCCAAAATCGCACCAGGATGAGCACGTGCTGATAAATGATTATGAGGAGTGTGAATACTAGGAGTCGCGGTGCAATGTAGGCGGAAACCCTTGGAAATACCATTGATGAGAAAAATAACCTTATGAGGATCATAACCTTGAAGTTCCAGCTGTAACTGGGTATGGTTTATTGGAGTTGGGAGACAATTTTGTGGGCGGAGACTGCAACTGGGCAGGGTGGGTGCGGCATTTGATTCTAGGATGC